TGAGTCAACCTGTCCAGGAGAATGACACACGCACGCACGCACGCACGCGCGCACACACACACACACACACACACACACACACACACACACACACACACACACACACACGTGCTGTAACAATAAGAACCATCACGTCTCCCACAGCTGTGTGAACGGTGACCTGCAGGAGGACTTCACCTGTACCTGTCACCCCTGCTGGGACGGCCCCACCTGCGCCACCTACGGTACGTACCTTAACAACCACCTGTTATTATTTACACCTGTCCACCGTGGCGGCCGAGTGGACACAGCTCTCCCCTACTAACCTCAAGTCACTGGTTCTCGCCCGTGTCTGCCCAGGTGTGAGTTTACATTACTTTTACAGAAGAGGAAGTGCAGGTGGCCGACTGTACTACCGGCCACACTGTGTACCCAAGGTTTAGTAGTCGGTGAAGTGTGTCTACTTGAGCCAACATCTGGTGAGAGTTATTGAGGTTTCAACATATATTTACCCAGAGTTTTCTTGTATAATAGAGCTTTATCATAGTGTTAATAAGGGGGTCACTGCCACCTGTAGACACATCACAGTGACCCAGAGGTAAACGTTACATATTACCAAGCGTCCAAGGAATTTTGATCTTAACTGTACACATCATCCATTACGACACATCCACGTTATATGAAGGTGATCCCTAGAGAGCAGTGACTCTTTAAGATTCTTTGCTCCATGACCTACTATGACCTCTGACCCCCCCCCCCACCCTGATACTCAATTGTATTGACAAACATTACAATATTCATAACAAAAATTGGTTTGAAAGTAGAAACGAAACACAAAACTTCCATTTACAATATTGTATAAGTAGTTTTAATACCAACACACAAATCTAAGTACGTTTACCGAGTGTACACCATCGATGAAAATGATGATGACTCTCTCGTTCACAACCCTGGCAGTATGCGGTGTGATCTGGCCGAGTGTTTATCAAAGGTCGACATTCTCCTCGTCACCTTTATATCCACCATAACCACAGCTGACAGATTTCACCTCACATGCAAACTTTGATGGAAAGAGGAATAATAACTTGAGCTAGTCGGTACTTGACCCAGAACCTCACCAGGACGAGGATCATAGTCATCTTACCCGGCAGTAAAAGATCAGTACAAGAAACTCCCGTAATGGTAAAAAGGAGGAAGATTCTTAACGAGGCAGACACCCACACTCGAGAATTTGTCGTCAGGAAAATATCGATAGAACTCGTTGTCCTCTAAACCTCCAACCTGACCCTTGACCTTCGCCTTGAGACCATCACTGAGGTGGTCCTTATTATTCATAACTTGAGAGAGAAAGATGTCGAGTTACGTGTGTTTGATCCTACGCTTCTACAACTACAGCTCGGTCATGGTAGTTAGTACACCATCATAGTTATCAATAGTAGTTGTTTCTCTTGTAGCTTAACACTGAAAACGTTGAAAATCTCAGCTACATCTAGTATGACGCCCTTCAGTCCCCAGAAAATAAAAATAGCACAGTCATATTTTTTCACCATTTTCGAGAAACATCATTACTTCTCAGCTCACAGCGCCCCAACCTATCACCCTCTGAGAGCCAGTGAGGGGGTGTGTTGTGTACCGCTGGTAAGTCACGTCACAGCTCACCCAACAATCGAGTCTTCACGTCATGTTTTATGGAGTTCACAAATTTGATCACCACGTTCAGAGAATCTTTTACCTGTGCGGGGAAGAGTCTTAGCTGGGGGAGTCTTAGCTGAGGAAGAGCCTTAGCTGGGGAAGAGCTTTAGCTGGGGGAGAGCCTTAGCTGGGGGAGAGTCTTAGCTGGGGTAGAGTCTTAGCTGAGAGAGAGTCTAAGCTGCCGGAGCCTAATGAGCGTTTAAATAACTCGTGTTCATAAATATCTCCCTTATACCTACATAACCCCGATGAAAAATGAAAATGATTTGCAAGAATAACTTACGACAGGGACAGTGTTTTACAGGGACGAGATGAGAGTCAAGATGTGTGGATGACTGAACACAGACAACAGTAAACAAAGGTAACCAATACTAAACAAACAAAGGTAAACAGACGACGGTAAACACAGAGCCACCATCACATACTCTCAGACACGCGTAGGTTCGTCCTTCACCCCCTCGAGTACCAGGACCATCTCTGATACTCCTTTGCACTACTCTTCAAGGAGCTGCATCCATTAATTACCTCACTCAAGGGGGAGTTGGGGGAGGGGAGTGAGGATGGTGAGTATGGGATGGAGGATGGGGAGTATGAGGGGGATGTGGGGTGTGGTGTGTGTAGCGTGTGTGGTGTGTGGGTGTGTGTGTGTGGGTGGGTGGGTGTGGGGTGGGGTGTGTGTACAGGGTCAACACGGTGGTAAGTCAACCTAAGTTATATTGGGAGGTCCAGGAAAGGCAAGATGGGTGGAGGGAGAGGGGTGGAGGGGAGGGGAGGGGTGGAGGGGAGGGAGGGGTTGAGGAGGGAGGTGGAAGGAGGAAGGGGTGGGAGAGGGGGGAAGGAGAAGGGGTAGAGGGAGGGGTAGGAAGGGTGGAGGGAGGGGTAGGAGGGAAGGGGGGAGGGGTGGAGGGATGGAGGGAGGGAGGGGTAGGAGGGGTGGAGGGAGGAAGGGGTAGAGGAAGTGGTAGGAGGGAGGCTAGAGGGGGAGTAACTCACACACACACAGAGAGAGAGAGAGAGAGAGAGAGAGAGAGAGAGAGGAGAGAGATACCAAAACACCCACTTACCGTGAAGGCTGGGAAGAGGAAGTGGTTTACGGGAAAAACAGGTGAGAGGGGTAGAGAGTAAGGGAGAGGGAGGAAAGTACGAGGAGTGGGGACGAGAGGTGGAGACTGGGGGCGTGTGACGAAGGGAGTGAGTGAAAGGGAGAGAGGAGTGAGAGGGGTAGAGAGGGAGAGGAAGGAGAAGAAGAATGATGCAGAGGGGGAGAGGAGGAGACGAGTGGAGGGGGAGTGGGAGAGGGTAGAGGAGGGAGGAGATGGAAAGGAGTGAAGGAAGATGAGGAAGGAGGGAGAGAGAACAGAAAGACAATCATCACCAACACACCTCACCAACACACCTCACCAACACACCTCTCCAACAATTCCAACACACCTCACCAACACACCTCACCAACACACCTCACCAACACACCTCACCAACACACCTCACCAACACACTCACCAACACACTCACCAACACACTACAACACACCCGCCAACACACCTCGCCAACACACTCAAGCAACACACCTCACCAACACACCACCAACACATTCTCCAACACACTCACCAACACACCTCCAACACACCTCACCAACACACCTCACCAACACACCTCACCAACACACCTCACCAAATACACCTCTAAATACACCCCAACACCAACACACACCCCACCAACACACCTCACCAACACACCTCTCCAACACACCCTCACCAACACACCACCAACACACCTCACCAACACCTCACCAACACACCTCACCAACACACACTTACCAACACCTCTCCAACACACCTCTCCAACACACCTCGCCAACACAACTCACCAACACACCTCCAACAACACACTCCTACCAACACACTTCCAACACACTCACCAACACACCTCCAACACACCAACACACCTCACCAACACACCACCAACACACCTCACCAACACACCTCTCCAACACACCACTCAACACCACCAACACACTCACTACAACACACCTGCCAACACACTCCGCCAACACACCTCTGCCAACACACTCACCAACACACTCACAACACACTCACCAACACACTACCAACACACACCTCACCACAACACACCCTACCAACACACTCACCAACACACTCACCAACACACCTCTCCAACACACCTTCCAACACACCTCACCAACACACCTCACCAACACACACCCCACCAACACACCTCCAACACACCTCCAACACACCTCACCAACACACCTCAAACACCTCACCAACACACCTCACCAACACACCTCACCAACACACCTCACCAACACACCTCACCAACACACCTCACCAACACACCTCGCCAACACACCTCACCAACACACCTCACCAACACACCTCACCAACACACCTCACCAACACACCTCTCCATTAACATTCACAACACATTTCCAACTTTAGTAAGACAAACAACAAACTTTCATAGACAAATACTAACACAAACTTCAGCTAGCTCTATGGCCGCTCTTCTTGACTGACTGACTGACTGACTGACTGACTGAACCGCAGAGACAATTTTTCCAGCAAGAATATAATCAGTTAAATCGACCACACCTCACTACTTTATTTAAGACTATTTTTGTATCGTATGTATATAGGAATTTCAACTTTATCAACAAACTCGTAAAATAATCCTTTGAGTACGATGATTTAACCCCTTGAGTACGATGATTTAACCTCCTTGAGTACGATGATTTAACCCCCTTGAGTACGATGATTTAACCCCCTTGAGTACGATGATTTAACCCCTTGAGTAAGATGATTTAACCCCCTTGAGTGCGATGATCTAACCCCCTTGAGTACGATGATCTAACCCCCTTGAGTACGATGATCTAACCCCCTTGAGTACGATGATTTGACCCCCTTGAGTACGATGATTTAACCCCCTTTGAGTACGACAGATTTAACCCTGAGTACGATGATTTAACCTTTGAGTACGATGATTTAACCCCTGAGTACGATGATTTAACCCTTGAGCATGATGATCTATTCTGAGTAATGATGATGGTTCTTGAGTACGATGATTTAGTACATTTAAAAGAGCTAATTCATCGTACTCAGGAAATCATCATCATATTCAAGTGATGACAATACTAATACAGTAATAATAACCAAAACAATATAACAATAACAGCAACAATAATAATAACAACACATTTCCCGCTGATACAGACTGAATAATAACCCTCATTAGGCAAGTCAAGTAATTAGCGCAAATAAGCTTGTTAATATTTGAGCTTATCGTCATTACAAAGTGAAGCAAAATGGATGTATAACTTTAGTTAAAAACTATAATGCCGCCTCGCTATGCTGCCTGGCCATGCTGCCTCACTATGCTGCCGCGCTGAATATAATTAACAAACACGAGACTTTCTATAATCATATCTATAATGTTATTTAAAATGTCACTGTGGGTGGTAACGTTTGCTGTGACGGTTCTAATGATGCTCTGACGGTTCTAATAATGCTGTGACAGTTCTAATGATGCTGTGGCGTAAAAAATAATACCGTGACGTCAATAATAATGCTGTGACGTCAATAATAATACCGTGACGTCAACAATATTCCTATGACCTTCTTCAGTTATTTAATATCTAACAGAAAAAAAATTATATATACCTCGCTACTGACAGAGAGAGAATGTCATGCTGTCATTCCAACTGTCATGAACTAATAGCTAAAGAACTGTCTACATAAATAAATAAATCTACCTAAATTTCCCATGGTGCTATATTATTATTATTATTATTATTATTATTATTATTATTATTATTATTATTATTATTTTTATTATTATTATTATTATTATTATTTTTATTATTATTATTATTATTATTATTATTATTTTTTTTTTTTTTTTTTTTTTTTTTTAGCCTCCCAGGAACATCGGACATTTTTAGGTACTTCACTGCATTTTTCGTCGATCAAACATAACATCATGCTCAAACAATATTATCCGTCAAGTCAGTAATGGCGGGTGTTGACTTAATCCAGGTCAGAATTTAATGTACACATGTAATGTGTTTGTGTGTGGGGTGTGTGTGTGTGTTGTTTGTGACCGTAAAAGCTGTTGATGTTTAGTTTATGGAGGAATATTGTGTTATATACACACACACACACACACACACACACACACACACACACACACACACACACACACACACACACACACACACACACACTCAAAACGAAGATAACTTTTAACACTCGAGGTTTATTTACATTAATAATAACTAAACAAACACTGCCATGATTTAACTAAAAAACTAAACACATTCTTATATAATATCTTACTGACATGAGAGTTAATAACGGTACTTCACCTTTTATTATCTAGGCAGGTAAATACTAACGAGTTCAGTTTATCTATCAGTCTAATCAATTATCTATCTATCTAGTTTATCTATTTATCTATCTATCTATCTATCTATCTATCTGTTTATAATTTACATGTTGCCTACTATCGCTATTTATCTATTATGCTGCCTATAACTACCACTATTCTACCACAACTATGACTACTACCACCATTACTACCCTCCCATCACGACCCCTTCCCCCCACCACCATCATATCAACACACACTGGGCTCATGTCAGCTCGCATAGTATTTCATTATACCGCGCGGTTCATTCACGTCACACTCCATCTTTATTTGAAATATTAAATACCCTGATGGAAACTCCGGCTATATAACTCGGTATATAAAAGGTTCCGGTGGTGTAATATAGTGTTATTGTCTCCTAACTCACCTGCAATAACGACCCAATTACCTGTCTGCGTAGAGGAGTATCGTAGGTGATGTAGTAGGTTATTGATGCTGTGTTATTGAAAGTATGTGTGTCGGTCTTTGAGTGATGGGGATGTGTGGGGGGGTGGAGAGGGAGGGTGGAGAGGGAGAGGGGTGGGTGGAGAGGGAGGGGTGTGGAGAGGGGGTGGGGGGGTGGGAGAGGGAGGGGTGTGTGGGAGGGGGGAGAGGGGTGTGTGGGTGGGAGGGGGAGGGGGGGTGTGGGGGGGGAGAGGGGAGGAGGGAGAGGGGTGTGGGGGTGGAGGGGAGGGGTGTGTGTGGAGAGGGGAGAGGGGGAGGGGGAGAGGGGTGGGGTGGAGAGGGAGGGGGAGGAGAGGGGGAGGGGGAGGGGAGGGAGGGTGGGGGGTGGAGGAGGGGTGTGTGAGAGGGGGAGGGGGAGGGGTGTGGAGGGGTGTGGGTGGTGAGGGGGAGGGGAGGGGAGAGGAGGGGTGGGAGAGAGGGGTGGGGGGAGGGGGTGTGGAGAGGGGAGAGGGGGGGTGGGGAGGGAGGTGTGTGTGTGTGTGGGGAGGGGAGGGGGGAGAGGGGTGTGGGGGAGAGGGAGGTGGGGAGGGGGAGGGGGTGGAGAGGGGTGTGGGGGTGGAGAGGGGAGGGGGGTGGAGAGAGGGAGGGGTGAGGAGGGGGAGGGGTGGCGGAGGGTGTGTGTGTGGGTGGAGGAGGTGGGGAGAGGGTGTGTGGGGTGTGTAGAGGAGGTGTGTATGGGGGGAGAGGGTGTGGGAGGGGTGTGTGTGTGGTGGAGGGGGAGGTGGGAGAGGGTGTGTGGGGGTGGAAAGGAGGGGTGTGAGGAGAGGTAGGGGTGGGAGGGAGGGGGTGTGCTGGAGGTGTGGGAGGGGATGTGGGGAGGAGAGTAGTGTGGAAGGGGTTAGGTGTATGTATGTATGTATGTATGTATGTATGTATGTATGTGTGTGTGTGTGTGTGTGTGTGTGTGTGTGTGTGTGTAACCCACACACACGTAGCGTTCATCAGTAAACAAGATAATAACAAACACAGAGGCTGCAGACAACGGACCAATAAGCTGCACTGTTTACCCTACATCGTGTTGTCCTCCACTATTAGCCAATCAGCTGATTTTGTTTAACTGGGTTGATATCCAGAGTCAACCAATTTCTTTTTTTGTTTAAAGTTTCGTTTTCCATTGACAGCCAATACACTCGCCTGTTTGCAACAAATAAACTGGTTTGTTTACAAGGTGTGGCCCTACATCAACCACCTGCGCGTTTATATATCCCAACCAATAAACTGACATATTTATAAGATGTGCCTCACATCAACCAATCAGCTTGTGTGTTGACATATCCCAGCCAATCAGCTCATGGCGCATTGACAATGATTTGGAAGCCATATAATACCACATGCGATAAAACACTCACACTCTCACCCTCTCATCCTCTTCATAACCTCCCTCCTTTACACTCCTCTCCAATCCCTTATCCTTCCTCCCTCCCACTCTCCTAACCTCTCACCTCCACCCACTACCTCTCTCCCTCACTCTACTGAAGTTCAATTTTCATCAAATCTCACTTGACATGCCAGATGAAAGCCCACGGCGCCACACTCCATTATTGATTAAATGGTCATTTTTACCGTGATAGAGATGCTCCTCCCTCCCTCATGTCTGTATACACTCCCTCCCTCATGTTCGTATACACTTCCTCCCTCCCCCATGTCTGTTTACACCTCCCTCATGACTGACATTCATCAACACGCACACACACACAGCTTAGACCAGCTTTTAAATGTAGGTTGGCAGAGTGTTGCCCATTACCTCCCCCATTTCTCCTTTTCCTCTTCCTCCTCTCTCAATTTCTCTCGTTCCTCCTTCTCTTCTCTTCTGTCTCCTCTCACCTCTCGTTCCTCCTCAATTCTCGTTTCCCTCACTTCTTTCGTTCCTCCTCTCAATTTCACTTTCTGCCTCCCTCAATTTCACTTCGTTCTCCTTAACTACTTCGTTCCTCCCTCTCACTCCTTTCTTTCTTTCTCCCTCCCTCAATTCACAATAACAGTGATATAAACTCTTCTTCCTCCTTCACCTCCCTCATTTATCTCCCCTCTCCCCATCCCTCCCTCCTCCCCATCCTCCTCTCCCCCATCCCTCCCTCCCTCCAACTCTACCACTACTAATAATGTTCTCGTGTTGTTATCTTCTTCCCACAGTGGACTACTATGCTCCACGCTTCGTCCACGCAGCCACAGCCGTCCTCCCAGTCAACGCTACAGGTCAGTCAACGCCATAGCCGTCACCAGTCAACGCGACAGGTCACAACGCCAGGCTGTCCCAGTCAACGCTACAGGTCAGTCAACGCCACAGGTCAGTCTCCAGTCAACGCCACAGGTCAGTCTCCAGTCAACGCCACAGGTCAGTCTCCAGTCAACGCCATAAGTCAGTCTCAAGTCAACACCACCAGTCAGTCAACAGTCAACACCAAAGGTCAGTCAACACCACCAATCAGGTCTCCAGTCAACACCACCAGTCAACAGTCAACGCCACAGGTCAGTCAACACCACCAGTCAACAGTCAACGCGGCGTGAGTCCCTCCATCAGTCTCTGAAGGACAAAGAGATCAGAGTGTTCTCCAGGTGAGTGTGTCTCTGGCACCCTGGAGTAGGTCAGGTGTACAAGAGTGCCACTTTATAATATAATAGTAAGTGTTCATGTCATTATTATAATAATAATAATAATAAATAATATAATAATAATAAAAAATAATAATAATAATAATAATAACAAAAACAATAATAATAATAATAAAATAATAATAATAACAAAAAACAATAAAATAATAATAATAATAATAATAATAATAATAATAATAATAATAATAATAATAATAATAAAAATAATAATAATAATAACAAAAACAATAATAATAATAATAATAATAATAATAATAATAATAATAAAAATAATAATAATAACAAAAACAATAATAATAATAATAATAATAATAATAATAATAATAATAATAATAATAATAATAATAATAATAAAAAATAATAATAAAAAAAACCATAATAATAAAAAAACAATAATAATAATCTAACCATATCTACCTTAACCTAAACTTACCTTACCTTAACCTACACCCTAACTTCACCTGCCTCAACCTAACCTAACCTAACCTAACCTAACGTACCTTTACCTGTCCCCAAATTAACCTATCCCTACTCTCTAACCTAACCTGCCCTAACCAGACCCGCGGTTCTACAATAAACAAAGGCGGTATCGGTTCTTGAGGTCCAGGTTCGAGGAATATTGTGGTTTGCTCTTCTCGGAAAGAAAGAAAGAAAGAGGGAAATAGAGAAATAAAAATTTTATAAGAGAGGGCATCCCAACACAACATTATTTACACTTAAGACAAATTGATACTCTCGCCTTTAATGACTTAGTTTCTTCCCTTTTTTTCTGTTCCTTGTGAGTTCTTCCGCCTCCCTTGTAAGAGTCTTCCGTCCTTCTGAGTCTTCATTCCTTGTGTGAGAGACTTTAACCCCCACAGGGTATTAGGGAGGAGGTGCGCTAAACTTTCAATATACAGCCACACAAGACCTCTCTCCTCCCCCTCCCCTGGGCAAGTCAACTCTATTTCAATTTACACCGCTGGACTATCGAACTCTGGGTTTATTTATACCGACTATTGACTAAACGCTTCATTATACCCGACAAAACGCTTCATTTATACCCGGACAAAACGATTCATTTATACCCGGACAAAACGCTTACTTATACCCGACAAAACGCTTCATTTATACCCGGACAAAGCTTCATTTATACCCGACAAAACGTTTACTATTCGGACAAAACGCTTCATTTATACCCGAATACCGAACAGAACTCTTCAATTATGCCGGTTTATCACACTCAGTCGTTTAGGTTTACCTTCTGGACACTCTCACTACCGGACTACTCAAGTGCTTCATTTTGCTCAACACAGAAACAATATTCAGTCCAAAAAACAATAGTAGAGCCACAACCTTAATCCCAACACGTCATCTATCCTTATCCACCATTAATATAAACTTACGTGAGCTATTGTTGAGATTTCTATGACTGCAGACACACAACTTACGATTATATTACGAGGATAAGATTACAGACACACACAAACACCTTACGATTACATTACGACATACAACTCACGATTACATTACCACCAGACAAATTAGTCACCTCCAATAGCTATACTCTACCTCACCTGTCACCTGTTCCCTCCCTAACAGGTGTGGTGTACCGCGCGTGGAGTACAGACGAGGACCTAGGGCTCACCTGTCCACTCGGCCCAGGTGACTCTGCCCGTTGCCCCTGCGCCTCCGTCACCTATCAGCTGTTTGCACCTCCCGGAGACCATCACTTCCTCCTGGACCAAGTGTCAGGGATACTGTCCAGGAACAATGACACTTTGACCCTGGGACTACCTACACCTACAAGTTAATGGTGCAAGGTGAGTCTACATTACTACCTCATGTACCTGGACTGAGAACATACCTGACAACACCACACACCTGAAATTAGTATATACATGGCACTAACACTCCTGGTACGACCTGCATCTGTAAGTTTATAGTGCGACACACACACACACACACACACACACACACACACACACACACACACACACACACACACACACACACACACAAGTAATTCTAAACTTCAAGAATGTCCCGCCATCTGTCTCTCCACACCTGTCACAATATTCCACAAGCGCTCGTCTGTTTAAGGCAACTGACCCGGTTACAACGGTGATGCCAGGATTAGTCACGAGCTTAAAACATTACTACCGACAAGAAGTAGGAACGAACGCCGCACATAACGAACGCCGCACATAACGAATAACACAACAAACACGCCACGAACATCAACGCACACCGAACCGTAATATATTCAGCTCACACAACACACAACAGTATCCGTTCCTCTTAAAGACTTCAATATCCACTAGGACAATACAGCCTACCACACGACTCTTCCAACACCCACCGTCTCCTAGGGCTTATCGCTCCAGCCGGGCCGTGACAAAACACCAATACTCCAACACAGGACACCGCCGGGGGGACTCAAACTGTGAGCGAGGAACATAAATTTAGTGAGGGTAGAATTCCTATTGAACACTTGCAGATCTCAGGCGACTGTAGCGAGGCAACAAAGGCATGTAAATGTTTGCATATAGATCACCTGTTTTACCGCCCTCCTGGGTGTTGATGTGACACCTTCCTCTCCTGCTGGTAATATTAATGAATAAAACATGGAATTTATGTTCAATGGATCCGTGACGCATTAAGACATGACTGGTGGGACACATCAGGTGAGATACATTACCTATGACACACCAGGTGTAACACACATTAAGACTTGACAGGTGAAACATATTAACACACGACAGGTCAAACATTGAGGCACAGGTGAGACATATGAAGACCTGCCAGGTGAGAAACATTACCTATGGCATAACAGGTGAGACACATCACGAAAACTAATAACTCTGCCCCAAGCATCAGAACTATCAACACACACACACACACACACACTCACGCACGCACGCACGCAGTGAAAGGGTGACCTGTGAAGCAGAACTCATTAAGAGGAATAATGAGACGGTGTACGGAGAGAGAGAGAGAGAGAGAGAGAGAGAGAGAGAGAGAGAGAGAGAGAGAGAGAGAGAGAGAGAGAGAGTGTGTGTGTGTGTGTGTGTGTGTGTGTGTGTGTGTGTGTGTGTGTGTGTGTGTGTGTGTGTGTGTGTGTCACCCAACACATCATTAAGGCTGGATACCTTTTATTCTGGTTGAACAAATTGATATGTCAGAATAGGACCCAAATTATCGTGCCAGAACAGCGGTTTACGTCATGTCGTGTTAGGTTAGGTCTAAGTAAGGTTAAGTTACGTTTAAGTAAGGTTAAGTAAGGTTTAAGTAAGGTTAGGTTTAAGTAAGGTTAGGTTTAAGTAAGGTTAGGTTAGGTTTAAGTAAGGTTAGGTTAGGTTTAAGTAAGGTTAAGTTAGGTCTAAGTAAGGTTAGGTTAGGTTTAAGTAAGGTTAGGTTAAGTAAGGTTAGGTTAGGTTTGTAAGGTTAGGTTTGCTAAGTTAGGTTAGGTTTTAAGTAAGGTTAGGTTAGGTTTAAGTAAAGGTTAGGTCTAAGTAAGGTTAAGTTAGGTTTAAGTAAGGTTGTTAGGTTTAAGTAAGGTTAAGTTAGGTTTAAGTAAGGTTAAGTTAGGTTTAAGTAAGGTTAAGTTAGGTTTAAGTAAGGTTAAGTTAGGTTTAAGTAAGGTTAAGTTAGGTTTAAGTAAGGTTAAGTTAGGTTTAAGTAAAGTTAATTTAGGTTTAAGTAAGGTTAGGTTAGGTTAAATTAAATTACTCAAAGGTAAGATTAAAGTTTGATCTAACAAAAAAAATATTTCTTCCTAAATTATATATATAGAAAACTATTCCTCATTCACCCCTAAATTAAAGTCAGGCTGTACTGTACCCTAAGTAAACACGATGGACAATCTCTCTAAACAAAAACCTTAAAATTCCTGAGTTTTTTCCCCATGACTTTTCTTTTCATCTTTTAAAAACTTGTCGTGTCTTTCTTTTTTTCATTCCTGTCTGAGAGGAATATATCTGAAAAGCTCAAGTTCCCGATTAATTCCAGAAGTCTAGAGAGTGTAAGAATTCCTGCTACAGATTTTCCCGGGAACTTACTTAAACAGATTTTTCCCGGAAACGTGTGACCTTTAAACAGATTTTTCCCGGAAACGCAAGAACCTTAAACAGATTTAGAAAAAATCGGGCAATAAAAGTAAGTGTCTGGCGAGTCGTTGGGACAGATTTTGATAATGGTCGCCGTAATATCTGGTTGGGGGGGGGCAATTGTCTGAGAGGGAGGGTGGAGAAGGAGGAGGAAGAGAGGGAGAGGAGGAGGAAGAGAGGGAGAGGAGGAGAGGGGAGGAGTAAGAAGAGAGGGGAGGAGTAAGAGAGGGGGGGAGTAAGAAGAGGGGAGAGTAAGAAGAGAGGGGGAGGAGTAAGAAGAGAGGGGAGTAAGAAGAGGAGGAAGAAGAAGAGAGGGGGAAGAAGAAGAGAGGGGAGGAGTAAGAAGAGAGGGGGGAGTAAGAAGAGAGGGGGGAGGAAGAAGAGAGGGGGAAGAAGAAGAGAGGGGGAGGAGTAAGAAGAGAGGGGGAGGAAGAAGAAGAGAGGGGGAGGAAGAAGAAGAGAGGGGAGGAAAGGAGGAAGAGAGGGGGAGGAAGAAGAAGAGAGGGGAGGAAGAAGAGGAGAGGGGAGGAAGAAGAGAGGGGAGGAAGAAGAGGAGAGGGGAGGAAGAAGAGAGGGGGAGGAAAAGAAGAAGAAGAGAGGGGAGGAAGAATAGGGAGGAGGAAGGTGAGAAGGGATAGGAGGAAGATAGGTTAGGTTAACGTCAGGGTGGCTGAGGTGAAACAGGTGGAACAAACTTGGACATACCAAATCAACAGGTGAGCACCATACACCTTTCGGATCACCTGAAGAACCACCACCCCAGCTTATTACACCAAAGCTGACCACCCTAACGCTAACCTAACTTAACCCTATTCCCCCAAAAATAGTGCCAGGTGGGGTTAATCTTCAGGTGTCCTAATCTGTTCTTATTCATTAATTATCATAAGATTAGTCCACAACTTGTACTGTAATCTCTCTCTACCTGGGTCAGAACAATGTATGAGTCTCCTTTATAATTAGTTCTGAATACTATTGCTGACTAGCCATCTGACATAATCTAAATGAGAGAGTGAGGGAGGGGTGAGGGAGGGAAGGGAGAGATGGGGGAGGGAAGGGGAGGAATGGGAGAGATGGGGGGAGGAAGGGGAGAGGATGGCAGGGGAGGAGAGGGAGGGAAGGGGAGAGATGGGGAGGGAAGGGGAGGGAATGGGAGAGATGGGGGAGGGAAGGGGAGAGGATGGCAGGAGGAGGAAGGAGAGGGAGGGAAGGTGAGAGATGGCAGGGAGGAGAGGAGGGAAGGAGAGAAGGAGGGAAGGTGAGAGGATGGCAGGGAGGGAGAGGGAGGGAAGGAGAGAAGGAGGAAGGTGGAGAGGATGGCAGGGGAGGGAAGGGGAGAGATGGGAGGAAGGGGAGAGGATGGCAGGGAGGGGAAGGGGAGAGATGGGGAGGGAAGGGGAGGGAAGAGAAGAGAAGGGGAGAGATGGGGAGAGGATGGCAGGGGAGGGAAGGGGAGAGATGGGGGAGGAAGGGAGAGATGGGGAGGGAAGGGGAGGGAGGAAGAGGGAGGGGAGAGGATGGCAGGGAGGGAGAGGGGAGGGAAGGAGAGAGGATGGCAGGGAGGGAAGGAGGAGTGATTAAACCAGACCATTTAACACTATAACAAACCACACGCTAATATGGCCTCCACATTGACACTACCACACCACTGCTGCTACCACACTACCACCACCACCACACTATTACCATACTACCACAACACCACACTACTCCCACTACGATGTGATATAAATAAAATAAGTTTAAAAAATACAAATAAAAAGATACTACTTTAAAAACCACAAGCGCTTAAGTAATTCTATTGCAGTAAAATATAAACCTCAGTGCCAGAGGTCACCAGTGCTGCCGCCCACGAGTCGAGTCCTCTAGTGTACAGTACTTATCGGTGTACAAGTTACATAACACCAGGCGGGCTACACATTCCCTCTACTCGTCACTCAACACTCTTAACCTAACTTAAACTACACTAACCTAACCTAACTTAAACTACACTAACTCAACCTAACTTAAACTACACACCAAACTAACCTAACTTAAACTACACTAACCTAACCTAACTTAAACTACACTAACCTAACCTAACCTAACTTAAACTACACTAACCTAACCTAACTTAAACTACACTAACCTAACCTAAAAATTAATATTGAAGCCAAAATACTAATAAGGCTATGTTAGGTTAAGCTAGGTCAGGCCAGGTCAGCTTGGGGGTCTATTAGGACTGGGGCCCGTGTGATCAGCAGGGGACCATAACATATATTGTAAATTTACCAGACGGAGGAACGACTGTGTAATGTGAACCAACACACGCGAGGGGGAGGGTGTACACGTGACCCCCAAAAAAAGATATCGTGTGTCGTATGAGTAATGAAGCTCTCTCTCTCTCTCTCTCTCTCTCAGGGTAATGTAGGTGTTAATAAGCCACAGATCTACGACGCACCAACTTACACTTATCAATAAACGTGGGGCCTATATTAATCCTGGAGACCATTTAAATTGGGGCCAAACCAAACAGGTCCCCTTAAAATAGACACACTAAAATTAGTGGCCATTAAGACTGGGGATCAATTCTCATGGTTAAGGGAGAGTAAGTTAGTGAGGGTCTAGGGGAGGGACGGCAGTCCGTGTTAACACTCTCCTGAGGGCCTCACCATCCATCACCCCCGGCAGCAGGAGGGAGACCTCACCAGCAGGAGGGAGGATTACCCTCACCAGCAGGGAGGAGGATTACCCCCACCAGCAGGAGGGAGGATTACCCCGGCAGCAGGAGGAAGGATTACCCCCGGCAGCAAGAGGGAGGATTACCTCCGGCGGCAGCAGCAGGAGGGAGGATTACCCCGACAGCAGGAGGAGGATTACCCCCACCAGCAGGAGGGAGGATTACCCCGACAGCAGGAGGAGGATTACCCCCAGCAGCAGCAGGAGGAAGGATTACCCCGGCAGCAAGAGGGAGGATTACCTCCGGCGGCAGCAGCGAGGGGAGGATTACCCCCGACAGCAGGAGGGAGGATTACCCCGCCAGCAGCAGCAGGAGGAAGGATTACCCCGGCGGCAAGAGGGAGGATTACCGACAGCAAGAGGGAGGATACCTCCGGCAGCAGCAGGAGGGAGGATTACCCCGACAGCAGCAGCAGGAGGGAGGATTACCCCGCCGCAGCAGCAGGAGGGAGGATTACCCCCACAGCAGCAGCAGGAGGGATGATTACCCCGCCAGCAGCAGGAGGGGAGGATTACCCCGGCGGCAGCAGCAGCAGGAGGGATGATTACCCCAGCAGCAGCAGCAGCAGAAGGAAAGATTACCCCGGCAGCAGCAGCACCAGCAGGATTACCCCACCTGGAGAATGGTACAGCACAGATCTTCGTTGCTCAGAGGCGCAATCAAGATAAGCCAAGATCAATGAGGGTCTTAACACACCTGACACCTGGCTATCGTGCGCCAGGCCGGGCGATGCGTGCAAACTTACCCAATTCTCCGTCTCGCGTGTTGCTAGATCACGTATTACTGCTTATCCCTCAGTCTTAACGGGGAGGGAGAGAAAGGGGAAAGCGGGAGTGTTGAGGATGAAAGGTAGAGAGGAAGGAGAGGGTGAGAGGTAAAGGGATAAGGGGGGTAAAGGAGGGAGGGTGAGGTGTATAGGGGTAAGGGGGGTAAAGGAGGATAGGGGGAGGTGTAGAGGGGTGAAGGAGGAAGAGAAGTAGAGGAATGAGGAATGAGGGAGGAGGAGGAAGTCACAATGTTGCCGAGTCTTCAAATGGAATACAGATTAGTTGGAAATCTGAGGAAGACGACTAATAAAAAAGTTGAAGGCGTTCCTTGTTAACATTGGACAGTCACATGTTCTTACTGTACATAAGAGAGATGTGCTGAGTGTTAGTCTGTTCTCGGGATCTGTATTGCGTATTTAGCCCAAAAATGAAAAATAAAAATAGCCGCCACAGTCTGATTCAGTAAGTAGGAATGGTAATTTAAAAACTACTTGTACCAAACACTTGCTCCATAAATGAGTGAAGTAGTGCAGAAGAAACAGACATTGCTTGTGCTGCGTAACTTAATAATGTGGCAGTATACAACCTGTTGTGAGAAGATGAAGGACCAGTGTGTCAGCCACCTGAAGAACACTTCCTCGAGATGGTACACGAACCTCTAAGGCTAAGACCCGACATATTAGCTCAGCCGACATATTAGCTCAGCCTGTGTACACAGGCTTTGTCATTAATGAAGGTGAAAGAATTTCATGTGTCCCGACAAGCTTGTTTGTGTTCCTGCGTCTCATGTCTGGGGGATGATATTGTGGAGGCAGACACAAGATCACAATATACTGTATAAGAGAGGACGTCAAAACACAGACCAAGACACTCAGTACTGCACAAAGTTTAGCGAAGGCAAACACTGGACCCAAAACACTTGAGCTTCGCAGTATACTTCACCAAGATACACGGTTTCACAATACTGGGCATATAAACAGTTCTGAGAGTGTCCTGCAAGAACAAAAACCTAAGCAGAACTAACACTTAATCAATGGCTCCTGCTACTGGGGCTGTAACACCACCTAATAAACCTATTGCAGGTCAAGGAAGACTCCGAAACAGGGTGGACAAACTTCAGCCAGACGTTTAACACTATCAACCCTGAAATAACAAGTGTCGGTTATATGCCAATCGTCCCAGCCCCAGCCCACGAGCTTGACACATTAAACACAGTGTTGCTGCAATGGAAACAAGTTGTAACAACATTGGACAACGCTTTGTTGTGCTCACTGTTGATGACGAAGCTTTGTTTGAAAAGTTGATGGAACTAAAGTGGGCATAATAGGATTTTAAGGAATGTTTGACTGTTAGGCTGGATGACAATACAGTGTTCTCAACTTCATGAACGCTGTTGGCCAACATGTCCAGTCATCTGCACTACTGGGAGAGCGACCCCTTGGTTAGCAAGTGGTAGTAGGCAAGAGTTATGCGGGACACAAGGACTTTAAGCTAACACTCCAAGCCCTGAGGAGAACTCTCATCCCACAACTGTTGAAATACATCGTCACATACTGTACTCCTCAACTCACTCATGGAAGACATACACAACAAGTCTGGCAGTGACCATCAGAGCTGAAGACCACCGAGTCGTCACACAGTATTTGTTTCCCTTCACTTTACATTTAATCTTTTCATATGTGTATTATGTTAGCCGTTTACTGTGCACCTGATCGTGTGCACAGAGGCAGTACCATACGAGTAGTTTTGTTCAGTTGTATGAAGTGTGACGTTTAGTACAGGGCTTCTGGGAGTAATTTATCGTTTTTTTCCACAAAATAAATATTAAAAACATTGAAACACAACAAAACAGAGACCTTCCTACTCTGTATTATGTTATCTTATCTGACCACAAGTAACCTCGGTAAACGGGTATACGAGGATACAGTTTACCTATCACGGTGTTTACTATGTATTTGATGATTGTTTACCATGATGTGTTATACTGTATCATGGTAAAGGATATACATAATGATATAGCCTCTGTACCATGATAGAGGATACCATAACATAGTATAAAGTATACATCAAGGTGTACCCTGTGTATCCTAAGTGTACCCTGTGTAAGTACTCCTCCACTAACACTCCCTCACCCTCCAGGTACGCCACTAGCAGGTCAGATGAAGGAGCTCCTCTACGACCTGCTCGACCTGAGGATCTACGTGAGTGCTGACTATGTGAAGAAGATTCCCTGGACCTAGTGACCTGCCCCCCCTCCTCCTCCTCCCTGTTTGTTTATCTACTTCCGCTTGGGGTGAGTTACCTGGCCTGTCTGTATGTCTGGGGTGAGTTACCTGGCCTGTCTGTATGTCTGGGGTGAGTTACCTGGTCTGTCTGTATGTCTGGGGTGAGTTACCTGGCCTGTCTGTATGTCTGGGGTGAGTTACTGCCTGTCTGTATGTCTGGGGTGAGACCTGCTGTCTGTATGTCTGGGGTGAGTTACCTGCCTGTCTGTATGTCTGGGGTGAGTTACCTGGTCTGTCTGTATGTCTGGGGTGAGTTACCTGGCCTGTCTGTATGTCTGGGGTGAGTTACCTGGCCTGTCTGTATGTCTGGGGTGAGTTACCTGGTCTGTCTGTATGTCTGGGGTGAGTTACCTGGCCTGTCTGTATGTCTGGGGTGAGTTACCTGGCCTGTCTGTATGTCTGGGGTGAGTTACCTGGTCTGTCTGTATGTCTGGGGTGAGTTACCTGGCCTGTCTGTATGTCTGGGGTGAGTTACCTGGCCTGTCTGTATGTCTGGGGTGAGTTACCTGGCCTGTCTGTATGTCTGGGGTGAGTTACCTGGTCTGTCTGTATGTCTGGGGTGAGTTACCTGGTCTGTCTGTATGTCTGGGGTGAGTTACCTGGCCTGTCTGTATGTCTGGGGTGAGTTACCTAGCCTGTCTGTATGTCTGGGGTGAGTTACCTGGCCTGTCTGTATGTCTGGGGTGGTTACCTGGCCTGTCTGTATGTCTGGGGTGAGTTACCTGTCTGTCTGTATGTCTGGGGTGAGTTACCTGGTCTGTCTGTATGTCTGGGTGAGTTACCTGGCCTGTCTGTATGTCTGGGGTGAGTTGGTCTGTCTGTATGTCTGGGGTGAGTTACCTGGCCTGTCTGTATGTCTGGGGTGAGTTACCTGGCCTGTCTGTATGTCTGGGGTGAGTTACCTGGCCTGTCTGTATGTCTGTGAGTTACCTGGCCTGTCTGTATGTCTGGGGTGAGTTACCTGGCCTGTCTGTATGTCTGGGGTGAGTTACCTGGCCTGTCTGTATGTCTGGGTGAGTTACCTGGCCTGTCTGTATGTCTGGAGTTACCTGGCCTGTCTGTATGTCTGGGGTGAGTTACCTGGCCTGTCTGTATGTCTGGGGTGAGTTACCTGGCCTGTCTGTATGTCTGGGGTGAGTTACCTGGCCTGTCTGTATGTCTGGGGTGAGTTACCTGGTCTGTCTGTATGTCTGGGGTGAGTACCTGGCCTGTCTGTAGGCTGGTGAGTTACCTGGCCTGTCTGTATGTCTGGGGTGAGTTACCTGGCCTGTCTGTATGTCTGGGGTGAGTTACCTGGCCTGTCTGTTGTCTGGGGTGAGTTACCTGCCTGTCTGTATGTCTGGGGTGAGTTACCTGGCCTGTCTGTATGTCTGGGGTGAGTTACCTGGCCTGTCTGTATGTCTGGGGTGAGTTACCTGGTCTGTCTGTATGTCTGGGGTGAGTTACCTGGCCTGTTGTCTGGGGTGAGTTACCTGGCCTGTCTGTATGTCTGGGGTGAGTTTGGCTCTGTCTGTATGTCTGGGGTGAGTTACCTGCCTGTCTGTATGTCTGGGGTGAGTTACCTGGCCTGTCTGTATGTCTGGGGTGAGTTACCCGGCCTGTCTGAATGTCTGGGGTGAGTTACCTGGCTGCGTCTGTTTCCTGGTCTGTCTGTATGTCTGGAATGAGTTACCTGGCCTGTCTGTATGTCTGGAATGAGTTACCTGGCCTGTCTGTATGTCTGGGGTGAGTTACCTGGCCTGTCTGTATGTCTGGAATGCGTTACCTGGCCTGTCTGTATGTCTGGGGTGAGTTGCCTGGCCTGTCTGTATGTCTGGGGTGAGTTACCTGGCCTGTCTGTATGTCTGGAATGATACCTGGCCTGTCTGTATGTCTGGGGTGAGTTACCTGGCCTGTCTGTATGTCTGAATGAGTTACCTGGCCTGTCTGTATGTCTGGGGTGAGTTGCCTGGCCTGTCTGTATGTCTGGGGTGAGTTACCTGCCTGTCTGTATGTCTGGAATGGTTACCTGCCTGTCTGTATGTCTGGGGTGAGTTACCTGGCCTGTCTGTATGTCTGGTGAGTTACCTGGCCTGTCTGAATGTCTGGGGTGAGTTACTGCCTGCCTGTATGTCTGGGGTGAGTTACCTGGTCTGTCTGTATGTCTGAATGGTTACCTGGCCTGTCTGTATGTCTGGAATGAGCCTGGCCTGTCTGTATGTCTGGGGTGAGTTACGGCCTGTCTGTATGTCTGAATGCGTTACCTGGCCTGTCTGTAGTCTGGGTTGCCTGGCCTGTCTGTATGTCTGGGGTGAGTTACCTGGCCTGTCTGTATGTCTGGAATGAGTTACCTGGCCTGTCTGTATGTCTGGGGTGAGTTACCTGTCCTGTCTGTATGTCTGGAATGAGTTACCTGGCCTGTCTGTATGTCTGGGGTGAGTTGCTGGCCTTTGTTCTGGGGTGAGTTACCTGGCCTGTCTGTATGTCTGGAATGAGTTACCTGGCCTGTCTGTATGTCGGGGTGAGTTGCCTGGCCTGTCTGTATGTCTGGGGTGAGTTACCTGGCCTGTCTGTATGTCTGAATGAGTTACCTGGCCTGTCTGTATGTCTGGGGTGAGTTCTGGGTTGTTATGCTGTCTGTATGTCTGGGGTGAGTTACCTGGCTGTCTGTATGTCTGAGGTGAGTTACCTGGTCTGTCTGTATGTCTGAGGTGAGTTACCTGGCCTGTCTGTATGTCTGAGGTGAGTTACCTGGCCTCTCCTAGCATCTTCCTCCTTCGGGTACACACACACCTCTTAGTATGTTCACCAGTAATACACACACACGAACATACACAAAATACACACATGAGAACACATATTTGAGGGCTCCTGTGTGTCTCTGTGTATGGTGAGAGTATTTCCTCATTACCTCGTCCTACACGTCACCACACCTCGTCCCACGTCACCACACCCCGACCCACACGTCACCACACCTCGTCCCACACGTCACCACACCCCGACCCACACGTCACCCACACCTCGTCCCACACGCCACACCCCTGACCCACACGTCACGACACCTCGTCCTACACGCCACCACACCCCTGACCCACGTCACCAGACACCCCTGATCCACACGTCACCACACCTCGACCCACACGTCACCACACCCCGACCCACACGTCACCACACACTCGTCCTACACGTGTCACCACACCTGAACCACACACGTCACCACACCCCGTCCCACACACGTCACCATTACACCTGACCCACACGTCACCACACACCCCGTCCCAGCCACGTCACCACACCCCGAGACCCACACGTCACCACACCCGGACCCACACGTCACCACACCTGTCCCACACTGCCACCACACCCGTCCCACACGTCAACACACACCCCTGTCCCCACACGTCACCACACCTCGTCCCACACGTCACCACACCTCGTCCTACACAGTTTACAGGACCCGGACAGACCACATCAAGCAGGACCCAGTGAGGACCATAAATGACCCGGGTGTTGGTAGAGGGAACGTTAGTGCTGAGCTGCAGGTGCGCCTCGGTCCCTCCCAGGTGGATGGGGCGCTGATTACCTCAAAGTTATTGTTGCGGTAAAGAGGGAGTTTGCTTGTATTCTGCAGTCCCTCCCACACTCCTCGCTCACTCCTTCCCACCACAGCACACACCATCCTTCCTTCCCTCCCTCCCTCGTACCATAGCAAACCTTCTCCTCCCTTCCTTCCTTCCTTCCTTCTCCTTCCCAGAACACCTCCCACCTTCTATCTCATCCCTCACCCTAATCTTCTCTCCTCCTTCAATTTCCATCACCCACAGACGGGCGCCAGGAATTTCTGATGTTACAAACGTTTCTCTTTTTATTCTTTTGACCTAGATAGTCAGTTCGTCTTTATGTTGTCACGTGACACATGAACCAGGGCAGAACATTTATGGTGTGTGTGTGTGTGTCTGTGTGTGTGTGTGTGTGTGTCTGTCTGTCTGTCTGTCTGTGTATGTCTGTGTGTCTGTCTGTCTGTGTGTTACGATGACGACCACAGTTTGGTTTGGTTAGTATTTTTATGAGGTGACAGCTGGGGTGTCTAATCTTCAGGTAACCCACTAAGTGCTGGTTCTCCCCCATACAGGAGGCTGCCATGGCCACCTGGTCCAACACACCACGACTGCCGGGGTTCGAGTGGATGTCCGGCTACCCACCTTCACCCTCCAGCCACTACCCTCACCAGTACGGGGGGTTCGGGGTGGATATAAAAAAAAAAAGGTTCTACCCACACCAGTTAGCCACACCGGGGTTCGAGTGGATGTCCCGGTACCTACCTAATCTTCACCAGTCAGCCACTAGCAGCACTACAACCACAAATACCGGGATGTTTGAGTGGTGATTCAGCAAGCTCCCGGTATCAACAAGAAGCATCATCGACATAAAATCACCAGTACCGGGGTTCGAACAGGGGTATCCGGACACACCCACAGTCACCAGTTTCACCAACACCACGACTCAAAGTGGAGGAGGTGGACAGTCGCTTTCACCAAATATCACCAAAACACACACAAGCAACAGTAGCACCCCCCCACCACACATGTCACACACACTGGCAACACTGTACATTATCAAAAAACCAAACAAACAGATAAACAAACAAACAAACAAACAGACAGACATAGATGTATAGTAGTAGTGTTAGCTGAGCCTCTCTAATGTAACTTGTAAATTGTGTGTTTTGTAAAAATATTTTTTCATATAAGCACATCTATTTTCGCTTGGAGGAGGAGTAGTGGTCAGTGAGAGAGAGAGAGAGAGAGAGAATTAGCAGGTGACAAGTTAAATTATGAGACAGGTGATGTGACAAAGATGAGACAGGTGATAGGTGAGTGTTGACAGAGATGAGACAAGTGACAGAGGTAATAGGCGACAGTGATGAGACAGGTAACAGAGATGAGACGGTGGACAGGTGAGAGACAGGTGACAATCATTAGGACGTCAGGACAAGGCCGCTACATTGATCCCCGCCAGACCTTGAGGGCCGCTGACACAGGCACTAAGGGGTAGCCAGCCCTCAAGGGGGGAGATACGCCAGCTCACAGAAGTAACAAAAGCAGCCCTTAACGGAGAAAAACAAATGCCCTTAATGGGACTGATAAGGGCTGCCCTGAGGGGTGAGAGAGCGGCCAGCCCCTGACGGAAGTGAGACAAACGACGTGTGTGTGTATGTGTGAGAGAGAGAAACAGACATACAGTCACGATTAGATGTGGCAAATGAATGGTCTCCCAGCATTGTCGCAGGGCCCCCAGCAATGTCTCATGGTCCCTAGCAATGTCTCATGGTCCCTAGCAATGTGACAGGGCCCCCAGCACAGTCAGGGGCTCCAGCAGTGTCAGGGCCCATAGCATAGTGTCAGGGCCCATAGCACAGTGTCAGGGCCCATAGCATAGTGTCAGGGGCCCATAGCACAGTGACAGGGCCCCCAGCACAGTCAGGGGCTCCAGCAGTGTCAGGGCCCATAGCATAGTGTCAGGGGCCCGCCAACAAGAGAGTTAGGGCCCACAGCAGTCTCAGGGGCCCCCTACACCCGGACCTTCATTCCCTCACTGACCAACTAAATAAATTTTAAGATGTACAAGAGTTTTATTTGTTACCCTTAATAAGACATTTCCTTCATCTTATTCATAAATATAGTGAAAGGTTTATATAATATTCATCTAAATTATTCACAATATATATTCAATGTCTTTTAAAATATATTTCTTCAATTTATCCACAAATATTATCGATTGTTTCTTAAAGATTAATCATTCTTCAACAATATTAATAATGGCTTCCAACAGATCATTAACTCCCATAACTTATTTTCTACATAACTATAAAACTTTAATATTGTTCATAGATATTTTTTAAACAGTTATTCAATATATTCAAGACTCTTCTCAATATGGCTTTTAAAACACAGGAATCGGTGTTATTAATGGATATATTTACTGAATTTAGGCCAGACAGACAGTCAGACATACACAGATAGACAGACTTACAGCCAGACATACACAGATAGACAGACTTACAGCCAGACATACACAGATAGGACAGACTCTACAGCCAGACATACATAGGGACAGGGGACTGCACAGCCAGAGACACGGTACACAGACAGACAGACAGACAGACAGACAAGCTGTCCTCAAGGCAAGCTACTCCTGCACTATGGCGTCTCGACTAATCTGGCCAGGGGAGCAAGACTGGCTTGGGAATGACATATGATGGAGATTTCAAAAATATCTTGGATGGTGGTGGGGGGAAGTTTAGGAGGGGAAGGAGGTGAGGGGGGCAAGGAGGGGAGGGAGGGTGAAGGAGGTGGGGAGGAGGCAATGAGTGGGGGGGGAATGATGTTTGTCCAGCTGCGAAGGTTACGATCAGGTATATTCTCCGTCCTATCCCCCCGCCAAAGAAAACAAAGAAAGAAATCACCACCACAAGACCAACAATCTACCAACATCTATACAAAGAAAATGGCGACCAAACTAAACTGTGACTCTCCCGTAATTACAGAGGTCTTAACAGCCCCTCCATCCATCCAACAATTAAGACGCCATCAATTATTATCTCTGAGGGTTGGCGACCACGGCCCTCCACCCCCAAAATATAGGGAATATTAGGGGCTGCTGTTATGTCGCTTAGTGTCTGTTTAGGGAAAATATTCGTATCTAAGGAATTATTGATCTTATGAGGACTATTTGACCTAAATAATAATAATAATAATAATAATAATAATAATAATAATAATAATAATAATAATAAACAATAAAAACAACAAAAAATAAACATACAAAAATTCTTCAAGAAACCATTAAGACATACAGACATACATATTAAACTCGACAGCTATACACCACAGCAACAGCTAATGGCATAATAATATAAGTGGGAGTTATACTTACAATATACAGCGTCCACCACTTAACGCCGCACCTGCAGACGAAATAAATGGCTTACTTAAATATATTACTTATATATAACAATAATATGCTTACTTAAATACCTTAAAATTGTCTTACTTAAAAATGTCTTCATATATATCTTAATTGAGTAGCTTACTTAAATGTCTTACTTAAATATATCTTAAAAATGTCTCACTTCACTATGTCTTACTTAAAAACACTAAACATTAATTACTGCTGATGCACAATTGGTAGTAGTGAATAACTTAAACATGGAGGCAGCTGTTACTCCACTCCACTGTTACAAGTACTACTCCACCAAGTACTACTCCACCAAGTACTCCTCCACCACACCGGGAGTGTACACAATAATGTTTACATCTGCGTCTGGTTTATTCACATGCTTGAGGTTGGAGAGTGACGCCTTGAGCATGTCAGGTAAACATACATAATAATAATAAGTAATGGTTGCCCCGCGTGTAACGAGGATGGCCGGCCCTAAAGCCACCTAGGAGTGAATTTGTTTAAGGTGTAGAAGCTGTCGCCAACACACCAACCACACCCTAAGTTAACAAGCTGTATAACCCAGTGTCAAGGAATAGTCCGAGAAGACCGGACAACTCGCCAACTGCACTGGCTAACCATTACCCCGGAACACGATCCGTAAATCGATTAACATCCAGGTTCCCAATTACTGCTGGGTGGACAGAGGCAAATGGCGAAAAGAAACTTGCCCACAGTTTCACCCTGCCCAAGGATAGAACCCGGGTCCGTTCGCTTGCGAGGATGCTAACCATTACACCACAGATCGCCACATACATACATACATACATACATACATACATACATACATACATTCATATACAGTACAAATACATACTAAAACATACATACCCTGTACATACATAATTACACACACACACACACACACACACACACCTAGAAAAAGTGCAAAAGAGGGCATGCAAGATTATTCTCTCCCCTTCCTACTCCACATATCAAGAAGCGCTCAACACACTGACCCTTTCGACTCTCACTGACCATCACCACGACCTCATCTACAAATTTGGTAAGAAGCTTCTACACCATCCCCGACACCGGCTCCTACTACCACCTGACATCCCCTGTCTGAGAATTGCTGTTCGACACCACAACCGCATCCAGCCCATACGTGCACGAACTGATCGCTATAAGAACAGCCCAGTCCCAACCATTGTAAAAATTATCAATAACATGTAATAAATCAGTGTATTCACTCCCGGTAAACACTGCTCCTTACACTGTCACTATGTTGAAATGAACTGTAGTTTGAGCTGATTCCCATCTAAGTTATTATATGTCTTATTTGTGTCACTTATGTTACTTGTATATTATTTGTAATTCGAAACCCATTCCCCAAATATGTAACTGTAAATTTTCAGCCTTCTGGCTGCCAAGCTCTTTCAATTAACCGTTAATTATTATTATTATTATTATACACATTTACCACACACACACACACACACACACACACACACACACACACACACACACACACACACACACACACACACACACACACACACACACACACACACACACACACACACACACACACACACACACACACACACACACACACACACACACACACACACACACACACACACACACACACACACACACACACACACACACACACACACACACACACACACACACACACACACACACACACACACACACAGGTGATAGTATTCACCAAAAGACTGAGTGAGAACGTCCTCTTACCTCCCGGCCTCATCCATTCAGTGTGCGGGTTGTGAGTGTTGTTGAACAGGTGAGACCGGCCACCACCATCAAGCGGTGAGGGGAGGCCAGGGAGGAGGTGAGAGAATGAGGAGGATGTGAGAGAAGGAAGAGGTGGAGGAGACGCGGGGAGGCAACGGAGGAGGAGGTGAGAGAAGGAGGAAGGGGTTAGGGAAAGAGAGCCAGAAAGAGGAGGTTGTTGTAGTATGGGGGAGGCCAGGCAAGAGAAGGAGGACGAAGAGGAGGAGGAAGCAGGGGGTAGGGAGATGAGGAAGAGGAGGAGGTAGTAGTGGTGGTGGCAGAGGGTAGGGAGGTGAGGAAGGAGGAGGAGGAGGTAGTAGTGGTGGTGGCAGAGGGTAAGGAGGAGGAAGAGGAGGAGGTAGGGTGGTGGTGGCAGAGGGTAGGGGAGGAGGAAGGAGGAGGAGGAGGTAGTGTGGTGGGTGGGTGGGTAGGAGGGTAGGGAGGTGGAGAAGGAGGAGGAGGAGGTAGTGGTGGGGAAAAGAGGGTAGGGAGGTGGAGGGAAGGAGGAGGAGGTAGGGTGGTGGTGGGTAGAGGGTAGGGAGGTGAG